CTTATCCAAAGGAATACTGACAACTGATTACTGCTAGATGAGGAACAGCTGACTCTCCTAAAACAAAGACCTCTAGATAGGCTGACTAGATTCACCAGATGGACAAGTAGTGGGGAATGGCTGGGGGTGTCGACAACACAGCAGACAGTAGCAGGGATATCAGAGTATAAGGGCTCTACTTGGGGGAGGAAGGCTATGGGAGGGTGCTACCTGGGAAGTGGGTGTATAGTCAAATGAGATGGTTTGGGATGTTCTGTGTGATATACACACACAGAAACACACACAAAAAATCATCAAATTTTTTAAAAATGTGTTATATTTGAGGAGGAAACATGGAAATTTACATCATGCTAATTAGTAAATGTGATAAACAATAAATACCATTGAAATCTGCTCAATGACTTTACTGACATACACAGGCACCAAGGATCCAAGTGCAACCGATTATGACTAGTAATAATCAGATACATACAGGTTAGAGATGCAAATGCTAACATCTCAGTGTTAGTAGCAAAAACAATTGAGTCTGTCTGCAAGGAAGAATATATTCTAAAATGAAATGGAGACCTTTTTTAAAGGTTAAAAACATCCAATTTCATGTCTTACAGGGCTTATACTGAGTTCAATAATATATAACTATATTAATTCAACTGTGAACCTAGAAACTTGCACCCACTTGTGAAAGAGATGTACTGTTGCTCTGGAGTGTGTTACTGAGTATGTTAAAGCTGTAGTGAAAAGCTTCTAATCATGTAGTTATTAAAAATTTTAAAAGTATAATGATTTAAAAAATAATTCTTCAAAGCACAAAAAAGAAGTTTAATGTGGACTCAGATCTGGTTTGAGGTGCAGAGCACACAATGTGTATTCAGTAACTGTAAGTAGAAACCTCTATGGAGAATGGCCTAGCTGATGTAGAGAGGACCTTATATATAATATACTCCATAGCCCTAATTATTTCATGTAGCTTTATTTTGTATTTGCATATCTATGTGAGAGTGTGATGCATATGTGTGTAGTACATGTGCACCTGTGTGTGCAGGCCAGAGGAGGATGTCAGGTGTCTTTTGCATCACTCTCTGTCTTATTCCTTTGAGGCTGGGTCTCTCCCTGAACATGGAGCTCACAGTTGATTTTGTTTTTTCTTTCTTTTGGCAAGGCTTGGCAGTCAGCTAGCTCAGCAATCCTCCTGTCTCCACTCTTACATTGCTGGGGTTACAGACATGTGGGGGACCACTCCCAGCTTGTTTTGTGGGTGCTGGGGTCCTTATAGTCATGCATCAAGTGCTCTTACCCACTGAGCCATCTCTCCAGTGCCTCACTACCTTTATTTCTATTGGAGAGTCATTCTGTGTCACTAATTTGGGGTTCAACTTCCTTCCCAAGGAAGGTTTGCAAATCACAAATGTAGCAACTCTGAGACACCAAAGAGACGGCATCCTGCACAGAGATTTTAACATCTGTTGCAGATGCTCACTGCTATTAATATGGGAAGCTAGGGCTGGAGTGTAGGCTCTCCAGCACCTGACCCCTTTGGTGCCTGTCGCTCCCATCAACCCTCCATAGGGATGGTGTGATGCTCAGGACTGGATCCAGGGTCAGGAAGATTAGAGCTATTCTCAGTGTATTTTCCTTTCTTCTCATGCAAATCTTGTCCTTGACCAACCCCAAGGCAGGAGGAGCAGGAGAGGCAGCTGAAGGCTGGAAGATTGTGGAGGAATAGGCACAGAACAGCCTGAGCTCCTTTTCATCTCAATTCTCACCCTGAGCTTCAGGGTGTCATGGATCTCTGGCAGGTTCCTCCCCCATTTCTCCATGCCTGACAAAGAATTTCCCAGGTGCCTGACCCCTCAATACTGGAGATGCCTGCTCTGACAGAAGGAAGGATCAGATTTCAGAAAGGTTTTCTAAGAGCTTGGATTGGGGTATGTAGGTGAGGAGTATCAGAGGCACAGACAAGCAGAGAGAGGTGTTAAGTCCTTGATGAGCTGAGTGAGAGTTACAAGGGGAGGTCTGTGCTGAAGGGACACATTGGGAGGTGCTAACAGGAACGTAGTGAGAACAGATGAAAACCCCAAGGGGTTGAATGGAAAGGGGATAGGAGAAGGCCTAGGTGAAGGCCCAGCAACAGGATGCAAACACCCAGTCATCAGGTGGAAGAGAAGGTACAGACGGCAGGGGCCCCACAAGACCTAGGGCTGTGTAACAAGAGCTGAAAAGGGCCAGGACTTCAGAAGCAAGCCCACCTGTACCACTGATGGAAGGCTATGGAGGACTGAACAAAGATGCTGTCCTGGCAAGGCCTGAAGGAAGCTGAATTCAGCAAAGGGGCTGTAGGCAGAAAAGCCTGGGGATGAGGCTTTCAGAGAGACTACTATGATGGAAGGGATACCAGGAGGTTGCAGGGGTAGCAGCTTCATGTGATCCAGGAAGGTAACATTTTAGGATCACATAGACTGATTGCTGGTGGCAGGCCAGCCACAATGTAAAGACAAAATGAGAAACAACTACAGTGACTCCCAAGGACAGAAGCAGCAGAGTTCACTCACTCATGGGGTATGTTCCTGTTTCTAGAAAATGAGCTGGACCTGCATTTTATAAAAGGACAGCCAAGGTGTGCTGCCTTTAAAAAGGTTCCTCAGTGATGTAATGATGTTTTGTTTTCTAAAAGCTACTTAAGAAAGAAAGAACTGCTTTATATACACTACTATATATTAACAAGAACGTAAGGCCTCATTGGTGACCAGCAGAACTAGAGGACGAGCAGAGATTAGCATATTCTGTACATACTCCTGCGTCGTAAATGCCTAAAATTCTGTGGAACAGGCCAGTGAATAAAGAAGGAAGCAGGCTAGGTCAGTGGCCTAGCATTTGCCAAGCATGAATTTAGTCCCAGGACCAAAGAAAAACGTTTATAGGGACTTTGAAAAAATTCACTCTGTTCAACCTGTGTTCATGGTAGGAATTACCAAGCTGTCCTTTTCTAGCAATCTTATCTGGATATTGACCAAAATGAATTCAAGGAAAGCAGAATGATAGAAATCACATTCCTAGTTATGCTCTGGGTAGCTGAACATTGGTGGTAATGCATTATCATTTTCCCCATTAAATAACAAGGGCTAGGCTCCTGTTCTGTGCCTCAGGTGGAACATCTGGTTTTTAAGGTATGAGTTCTGACACAGAACAGAGGCTGAGACAGGAGTTCCCCCTATCCAGTACCCCCTGTTGTCAGACTGCCAGGGAGATGCCTGTCTCACCCTTGAAAAATCTGCTTTGTTTCCGAAATAGTTGATAAACGGAGGTGATCATTCACCTGGGTCCCCTTTAAGAGATGTAGTAGGCAAAGAAATTGGTCTAACTACTTGCTAAATGATTTGGGCTTCAAATGTTTTTATGAGCATAATGGAAATCAGCATGTAGAATTAAGAAGGTTTCTGTCGGAGGTTCCCTCGACATCCAGGGTCACCAAGACTGAGTGAGCCACGCTGCCGCTGCACCTGCACCGGTGGAGAGGCCAGTTCTCCAGCAGAGCTTGGCAGCTGCAAGCTGAAGAGATGCCCAGATCTCAGCACACTACAAATCATTGTAAGCAGATTTTTATGTGAAACTTCGTCAAAGACTAACACGACATTTTACTAAAGTTACAAAAGAGATACAAGGGAGTGGTCAGAGAAAAGGTAGGGAGGGAGGGGAAAAAGGAATGGGGAGCAAGGAGGGAGGGAGGATGAATATCAGGGAGTCAAATCAATGGAAAAAATAGAAATGAGTTTACTACTAAATCTTGTTTCTTTTCTGTCCTTGGTACCACACTAACTTTTCTTCATTTAAACTTTCACCTATTATATTTGATAACATTTAGATTTTCTTCTGAATGAAAAACCTCAAAATCCTGCTTGGTTGCAGGTTAGTCTTTCCTTATGATTTACTTTTTGATTTTCAGTTTCATTTCCCCAGTTCTAAGTGGGTACAGCAACACAGAGGATATATAAAATAATCTGTGACTTCTCATGTTAATCCCACTTAGCT